CCGTAGGAAGCCCAGAACTACATTAACGCAATATTTCATTAAACATCAGAGTTGACACCAAAACTACACGGACACATCAGGGTTTTTACTTCAAAAACTAAGGTTACTCTGACAAATCAGAGAAACGACATGATGTCAAGAAACTTAACGAGAATGAATGCATTGACAAGAAACTGAGTACAAGTACTAACCCTAATTGGGTTGTACCCCTTATGGGCTACCCCACTACAACCTACATAATATAAAAAATATAACAGTTTGACACACCCCCATAGGCAAAGTGGGGGAGAACAGGGGGTCACAAGACCAGTCAAGAAAAAGCAAAGCAAGGTCAAGGTGGATCACAAAGTCACCATACACTCTGAGCACAAGCAGATTGCCACAAGGCCAGTTCACATGCAGAATTATATAAACGAGAACAAACATACAGTGATCATAACCTAGCAGGGGTAAGCATGCAGGTATTTGTATATAGATCACAGTACAAGCAAAGTCTGTCGGAATATAATTACACGCATTATATTATAACTGCCTGTAGTCTAGACTTAATGTAGTTTCTAAACTTGTTTGGTGGTGCACCTCTCTCTTTTCCTTCCATATATGTTTCCAACTTTCTATAGTGAAACCCCTCCTTTCACGACTTTCTTCTCTTGCTTGCCATAACTCTCTCGACATCCATGCCTAGTCTCAACCCTAGCATGGCTCCTAGTCTCACACTGTAGTTACTATTTTGACATGTTATCAGAGTGAGGTTCTACCTAGGACCTAATTTCATGGGCCCACCCTTCACGTCCGCTAATGTGCCCTTCTGCTGCTCGTCGCGCGCCTCGGGCGCTCGCGTCGATTTTCAGACCGTCGTGCGCCCCGGGCGTGCGTCGCTTTCGTTCCCGTCGTGCGCCTGCTCGTCGTGCGACCTGCTGTCGCCCGTGCAGCCCCTTCACCGCCCCCCCTTCTCCTCCATCCCTCTGCTGATCGTGCAGCAGGGGGGGGAGGGTATGGGGGTGGCGGGGGTGGCGAACGACGGTGTCCTGCCCGTCGCTCGCCCTGCTGACGCCCGCGCGGCTCCTTCCCCCCCCCCCCCCCCCCCCCCCCCCCCCCCTCCCCCCCTCCTTCTTCTCCATCCCCCTGTTGCGCGTGCAGCACGAGGGGGAGGGTATGGGGGTGGCGGGGGTGGCGAACGACGGGTTCCTGCCCGTCGCGCGCCCTGCTGTCGCCCGAGCATCTTCTACACCCCCCCCCCCCCCCCCCCCGCCCCCCTCCCCTTTTTCTCCTCCATCCCCCTACTGCGCGTGCAGCAGTAGGGGGGAGGGTATGGGGGTGGCGGGTGTGAGTAGTCAGCCGCCCACCACCTCCTCCTCTCTCTCCCTGCCGCACTTGATGTTGTGTTGGGAGAGGGGGGGGAGCTTGGAGGTTAAGGGGGTGGCAGGAAGGGATCTGCAGCACCAGCCCCCCCGCCCCCCCTTCTCCTCCATCCCCCTGCTGCGGGTGCAGCAGTGGGGGGAGGGGATCTGCAGCACCAGCCCCCCCGCCCCCCCCTTCTCCTCCATCCCCCTGCTGCGGGTGCAGCAGTGGGGGGGAGGGGATCTGCAGCACCAGCCCCCCCGCCCCCCCCTTCTCCTCCATCCCCCTGCTGCGGGTGCAGCAGTGGGGGGGAGGGTATGGGGGTGGCGGGTGTGAGTGAACTGCTGCCGCCTCTCCTCCTCTCTCTCCCACTGCTGCACATGCCGCTGTGGGGGGGGGGGGTTGGGGAGGGTGTGGGGGAGATGAGGGAGTGGCGGTAGGGATGCGGAGGGGTGTGAAAGGGAGGTTTGGGGAAATGGGGGAAGGTGAAGGGGGGTGAACGCCGTGAAGCCAGCAGCTCCAGTCGCCCGTGAGACCGTTGCGCCAGTTGCACGTGAGCCCGTTGCTCCTGTCGCCCGTGAGTCAGTTGCTCCTGCCGCTCGCTTAGCCGCGGAGCCAGTTACTCCAGTTGCCCGTGTGCCAGTTGCCAGTGTGCCAGTTGCTCCAGTTGCCCGTGTGCCAGCAGCTTCAGCCGCCGCCCACCACCTCCTCTCCTCTCATGGTCCCTCCTCCTCTTCATTTGCCCTCTCCTACCTCCGCTGCGCCTGGTGTACCCCTTCAGGGGGTGTTTTGCACATGGTTCTTCACTGCAGGCAGTTAGGGGGTGTGTCGGAATATAATTACATGCATTATATTATAACTGCCTGTAGTGTAGACTTAATGTAGTTTCTAAACTTGTTTGGTGGTGCACCTCTCTCTTTTCCTTGCATATATGTTTCCAACTTTCTATAGTGAAACCCCTCCTTTCTCGAATTTCTTCTCTTGCTTGCCATAACTCTCTCGACATCCATGCCTAGTCTCAACCCTAGCATGGCTCCTAGTCTCACACTGTAGTTACTATTTTGACAAAGTCACGCAGTGAGCAAGTGAGGCAAAGTTGGCACAAGGCCTAAAACAGTACAGAAACGCTGATGATCACCAGTCTAAAGTGCCTTCGTGAATATATCAGCAGTGTTGGCCCGAGTGGCCACGTACGCAAGACGAAGCTGACCACGCTGCTGCAACTCTCGAGCGAGGAAGTAACGCATGGCGAATGTGCTTCGTCCTGTGCTCCAATCTGTGCTCCTGACACAAGGCAATCATGGCCTTTTTGAATACGTACAGAATTGGAGGAGAACGAGGCCGCTTTCCCAAGTCGGTCAGCAGGTAGGTGAGCCAACGTAACTCCTGTGCATCCATGGCCCCTGCGTAGATCTCAGCCTCACAACTAGAACTGAGAACAGAAGATGAGCGGTGTGAGAGTACGCCGACGTTCGACATATTTCTCATTTCCATATTTTTACTCCATCTTATTCTCCATATTTTCCTCTTTCATTTGCACTTTATTTCACCTCAATCGGACTACTATTCTATTTTCTAGAGCTTTCCGATTATTTCACTTATTTGTTATTTTCGGCACCGACATTTACATTATACGGCACCGACAGCACCGACAGTGGTGTACAAGGCGTAATCTCGCCATAATCTGAAGTGCCAATGGGCTTGCGTGCTTATGCGCACTTGTGATTATCTATTCTAGAAGAGCGCGTTCCCGAAGGTTCGGATTATCTGTTGTTTCTATGTATTTCTGAGTATAAATACGCCTTGTAGTCACCTTTAGTGCAACATTCTCGAGTGGAAATTCGATCCTGTGACAAGCGGGTAGACCGCCAAGAAACAGAGCCAGAGCCAAGGCTGAAAGTGTAACCCTGTGACGACCGCTGCGTAGCCAAGTCGTCAACCCAAGACGCATCTGCGTGTCCAGTGAGGACAACTGGACCCCGTCCTCTAAGCACGAGCCCCATGCCTGATGTACTGCACAAGTAGCGCAACACCCTCTTAGCGGCCTCCCAGTGCCCTGGTCGGTGTCTCCCGGGCGCAACGTAGTGTGCTAGGATGCTAAGAGGGTAGGCAAGGTCAGGTCGAGTGCAGGTCATCAGGTACATGAGGCAGCCCACAAGCTCTGGATACGGGCCACTCGGCTCTACGGACTCGTCCGAAGGTGGAGCTGAGAGCGAGTGACCGGTAGGCAGAGGAGTGGACAGTGGCGAGGAGTGCCGAAAGCCGAAGCGCTGAAGGACCTGGTGCACCATGTGTGACTGAGTCAGGGTGATGGTGCGCCGTGCTCTGTCCCGGGTGATCTGCAAGCCAAGATAGCTGCGCAGCTCACCCAGGTCATGTCAGAACACTGTGCACCTAGGAAACTAGGTTTAGGCTTAAGAGGCATAGGAGCCATGCTAGGGTTGAGTGTCGAGAGAGTCTAGGCAAGGAAAATCGAGAAGGAAGAAGTGCTCAATAATGAGAAACAGTACACGGATATAGGCAAGAACCAAGAATGGTGCGCCCCCAACAGTTTATGATAGCTACACTAAACTACAGCTACAAGCAGTTACATATATATATTCCAACACACCCCCATAACTGCTTGCAGCAGGAGTTTGTGCATAGTAAAGCAGCAGTAGGCAAGAGCAGTGACAACCGGTGCAGTGGTGGCATATTCAGCTGCAACAACCCCTCAGCCAAGATAGAAGCAAGCAAAAGGATAAGGTGCATGTGGCGGCAGGTCGCCTGGAGAGCAGGTGCTTGCGGCGGCAGCGTGCGGCGGCACAGCAGGGCTCAACGGCAGCACCTGCCACTCAACAGCAGCAGACAGCAGAAGAGACAGCAGGTGGAGGCAGGGGCGGCAGTTGGAGGTGCCACAGTAGCAGCGGGCGGCAGCTGCAAATGCCTGGCTGGCTTCCGCCACTGCCTCACCCTCCCCCCCACAGTGGCACGCGCGGCCGCGAGAGAGAGAGAGGAGGAGGGGCGGCTGCTGGCTCGGCAGAGTCTCTCTCGCCACCCCCTCACACCTCCAAGCTCCCCTCCCTTTCTCCCAACACAACAACAGCTGCAGTAGGGAGAGAGAGGAGGAGGTAATGGGCTCCTGGCTACTCACACCCGCCACCCCCATACTCTCCCCCACTGCTGCAAGCGCAGCAGGGGGGTGGAGGAGAAGGGGGGGGGCGGGGGGGCTGGTGCTGCAGATCCCTCCCTGCCACCCCCTTGACCTCCAAGATCCCGCCACCCCCATACCCCCCCCCCCCCCCCCTGCTGCACCCGCAGCAGGGGGATGGAGGAGAAGGGGGGGGGGGGGGGGCAGGGGGGGGCGGGGGGGGGGCTGGTACTGCAGATCCCTTCCCGCCACCCCCATAACCACCCCCCCCCCCCCCCCCCCCCCCCCCCCCCCCCCCCCACTGCTGCACCCGCAGCAGGGGGATGGAGGAGAAGGGGGGGCGGGGGGGGGGCTGGTGCTGCAGATCCGCCAGGTACAGCAGCAGCTGCCGCCTTTTGAGACGCCTCAAAGGGGGGCACTGGGGGAAAGTCATGGCAGGGTGCCTTGGGGCATGGGGCACTCACGAGGGGGTGCGAGGGGCACTCACGAGGGGGTGCGAGGGGCACTCAAGAGGGGGTGCGAGGGGCACTCACGAGGAGGTGGTGGGCGGCTGACTACTCACACCCGACACCGTGCAGCAGTGGGAGGGAGGAGAAAGGGGGGGGGGGGGGGGGGGGGGGGGCGGTGTAGAAGCTGCTCGTGCAACAGCCGTGTGCGCGACGGGCAGGAACCCGTCGTTCGCCACCCCCGCCACCCCCATACCCTCCCCCCCCCTGCTGTACGACCAGCAGGGGGACGGAGGAGAAGGGGGGGGGCGGTGCAGGGGCTGCGTGGGCGACCGGAGGTCGCACGAAAAACATCTGCCACCCCCTCACACCCTCTCCCCCACTCCCCCCACAGCAGCAGGCGCAGCCGTGAGAGGGGAGGAGGCGTGGCAGCAGCTGCTGCTGCTGAGGCACATCCGCCACCCCCTCACACCCTCTCCCCCCCTCCCCATGGGGGGGGGAGAGGGGGGGGAGGGGGGGGGGGCGGGGTATGAGCTGCGCGTGCGACTACAGGGCGCGCGGGCAGGAAGAAACCGTCGCGCGCTCGAGGCGTGCGACGGGCAGGAACCGACGTGCAGCCGGGGCGCGCATCGGGCAGAAACCGACGCGCAGCTGTAGATCCCCTCCCCCCCACTGCTGCACCCGCAGCAGGGGGATGGAGGAACAGGGGGGGGGCGGGGGGGCTGGTGCTGCAGATCCCCTCCCCCCCACTGCTGCACCCGCAGCAGGGGGATGGAGGAACAGGGGGGGGGCGGGGGCGCTGGTGCTGCAGATCCCCTCCCCCCCACTGCTGCACCCGCAGCAGGGGGATGGAGGAACAGGGGGGGGGCGGGGGGGCTGGTGCTGCAGATCCCCTCCCCCCACTGCTGCACCCGCAGCAGGGGGATGGAGGAGAAGGGGCGGGGGGGCTGGTGCTCCAGATCCCTTCCTGCCACCCCCTTAACCTCCAAGACCACGCCACCCCCATACCCCCCCCCCACTGCTGCACCCGCAGCAGGGGGATTGAGGAGAAAGGGGGGCGTGGGGGGGGTGGTGCTGCAGATCCCCTCCCCCCCACTGCTGCACCCGCAGAAGGGGGATGGAGGAGAAGGGGGGGGGCAGGGGGGCTGGTGCTGCAGATCCATTCCTGCCACCCCCTTAACCTCCAAGCTCCCCCGTACCCTCCCCCCCACACCCGTCGTGCGCCACACCCGCCACCCCCATACCCTCCCCCCCACTGCTGCACGCGCAGCAGGGGGATGGAGGAGAAGGGGGGGGGGGGTGGGCGGGGGGCTGCTTGCTTGGTGACGAAGCAGAGCAGCGGGGCGCTGGAGGTGCAACCTCCTCCCAACACCACCCTTGCGTCCCCCCAACACCCTCCCCCCCCCTTCCCCCCGCCCAAACTGCTGCACGCGAAGTAGTAGAGGGAGAAGGAAGTGGGCGGCGGGGATAACGGAAAGCAGGGCAGCGGGGCCCCCGCGCGACGGGCAGAAAACGACGCACGCCCGGGGTGTGCGACGGGCAGAAATCGCCACACGCCCGGGGCGTGCGACGGGCAGAAACCGACGCATGCGCGGGGCGTGCGACGGGCTGAAAATCGACGCGCGCCCGAGGCGCACGACGGGCAGAAAAATGACGGGCGCCAGCGAGGCGGATGCCATGCAAGGATTAAATTTCGGTGGGCCCACTAGGTCGTAACCTCTCTAATACCATGTCAGAACACTATGCACCTAAGAAACTAGGTTTAGGCTTAGGAGGCATAGGAGCCATGCTAGGGTTGAGTGTCGAGAGAGTTTAGGCAAGGAAAATCGAGAAGGAAGAAGTGTTCAATAATGAGAAATAGTACAAGGATATAGGCAATAACCAAGAATGGTGCGGCCCCAACAATTTATGATAGCTATAATAAACTACAGCTACAGGCAGTTAAATATATATATATTCCAACAGGTCAGTGCAGGTGTGTCTCTTCTGCAGCTCCGACTTAACAAGGGCCAGTGCCTTAGTATCAGCAGTGGCCAAAACCAAGTCGTCGACGTACACGAAAATGTAGAACGGCGGCAGTGAAGTGTCAGTGCGCAGAAACACCGACGGGTCAGCAGTCGAAGGAGCAAACCCAAGAGACGCAAGCGTCGTCCTCAGTGTGTCGTGCCACTCGCGAGGCGCCTGGCGGAGACCGTAGACTGGCCGCCAGAGGCTCCACTGGGTACCTGCAGGAAACGACCCAATGAAGCCAGGTGGGCGGCGCAGCCAGATCTCCTCGTGCAGGCTGCCCTGTAAGAAAGTTGTGCTGGATTCAAGAGAGTGAAGCTCGTAGTTACGCTGAGCGGCGATGTGCAGCAGCACCCGAAGAGTGGTCATCTTCGGGGTAGGGGAGAAGGTATGGAAGAAGTCAGCTCCCTATCGCTGACTAAAGCCTCGTGCAACGTAACGAGCCTTGAAGACAGGCGGAGAACCCGGCGGCCGCTTCACCCTGAAAATCCACATGCCATTGACTATGTTCGCCCCAGGAGGGGGAACTGCGTCGACGTAGGTGCATGTGGACTTTCCATGATGTCATATCTGCGTCCATGGTTGTCTGCCACTAAGAGGAGTAGGGACCCGTAATCGCCTCTGCGTAAGAGCGCGGGGTCGGGATGTCTGGTGCATCCGGGTCTCCCTCAGGTGCAAGTAGCATGGCCACGAGATGAGGTACAGCAGTTGCAAGACACTCAAAGTCCTCTTGCCTGCCCTCAAAGACGTCCGTGCCAAGAGCACACTCACCCCCGACGGACGGAGGACAGTCAGACTCAGACTCAGCAACAAGACTAGCGGCGTAGTCGAGACGACATGCGGCAGCAAAGTCAACAAGCTCAGCAACTAGGGCAGACACAACAGCGGACTCAAACGAAGGGTCAGTGACAACAGTAGCTAGAAGACGTGTGACAGTAGGACTGGCAGCACGAACTAAGTCAGACTCAGGGTCCGGACTGTTAGCAAGAGAGGACGCAGGAGGAGACGGCAGGGGAACTCGCAGTGGAACAGAGGAATGACGAAGTGCCATAATGTGAGTGACGGGGACAGGAGGAGGACGCGGACAAGGAACACGACAACCAGTGCGAACAGCGCAAACAGGCGAGGCAGGACGAGACTCAGGATCACGACGCTCTGTAAGAGAGTCTGTCTGCTCAGCGTAAGGAGAAGGAGCAGGCAGTGGGGAGTCTGGCTGTAACTGTGGCTGCGACTTGTGAGGCGGTGGACATAGTAAGCGAGGAGTAAGGCCAATAGAATACGGTAGACTAAGAACCTGGCGAAGGACCAAGCCAGGTGGCGGCAGAGACAACAGCAGCGGCGGAACGAAAAACGGTCGCCGCTGCACAGTGCCTCCAGCACCAGTACCGCCAGCTCCAGCACCCCCAGCACCAGCACCTCCAGCTCCAAGGTCTCCAGCTCCAGCGCCTCCAGCTCCAGTGCCTCCAACTTCAGCTTCTCCAGCTCCAGCACCTCCACCGCCAGCGCCTCCAGCTCCAGCACCTCCAGCTCCAGTGCCTCCAGCTCCAGCTCCTCCAGCTCCAGCGCCTCCAGTGCCAGCGCCTCCAGCTCCAGGGTCTCTAGCTCCAGTGCCTCCAACTCCAGGGTCTCCAGCTCCAGTGCCTCCAGCTCTAGGGTCTCCAGCTCCAGCTCCTCCAGCTCCAGCGCCTCCAGCTCCAGCGCCTCTAGCTCTAGGGTCTCCAGCTCCAGCTCCTCCAGCTCCAGCGCCTCCAGCGCCAGCGCCTCCGGCTCCAGGGTCTCCAGATCCAGTGCCTCCAGCTCCTGCAGCGCCACTCCTAAGGTGTGTGCACCGAGCAAACCACTCGCGCAGCTCCCGCGGTGAGAGAGGCTCCCGCCGGCGAGACTCTCGTGGCGAGGCACCCACAGGACCTCCGGCAGACACAGTACCCCTAGGCTCAGCACCCCCAGACTCCGCACCCTCAGGCTCAGCACCCCCAGGCTCTGCACACGCAGGCTCAGCACCCCCAGGCTCCGCACCCGCAGGCTCAGCACCCCTAGACGCAGCACCCCTAGCAGCACCACCCCCAGCAGCATCAGACTCTACAGTGACCTCGTCAGGCTCAACCAGGGGGAGTGGGTCTACCTGAGACACACCTGAGGGAGAAAGACCCTGAGGGGGGAGGGGGTCTATCGGAGGGGGACCTGGAGCGAGGAAGAGCGGCGGGGCAGGGGGAGAGGGGCAGTGCGGTAGGGGAAGATACGGTAAAAGGGAACCGACTCGTCAAACATGACATCCTAAGAGGGCAGGACACAGCGCGAGGTGGGGTGGTAAAACTGCCAGCCAGGCACGTCAGGGGGAAAGCCAAGGAAGACGCAGGGAATGGCGCGGGAGGAGAGCTTGTCCGCGGAAGTATCCCGAACAAAGGCACGAGTGCCCCAGACCCGGAACACCGACGCATCGCCAACCTTCCCTGTCCAACGCAGTGTAGGCGAGGTCTCCGGCAAGGAGACACGGGGCCAGAGGTTGAGCTGTTGCGCAGCGTACCGGACCGCATACGGCCACAGAAAATGCGGAGCAGCCGCATGGATTATGGAGGTACGAGCCACCTCCATGACTAAGCCAATGCGGCGCTCAGCAACCCCATTTTGCTGCGGGGAGGCCTGAAGCGTGAACGACTGGAGGATGCCCTCCCCACGACAAAAGTCCCTCAAGAGGTCGGAGGAGAATTCACCACCTCTGTCAGAGTGCAGACGCAGGACACGAAGGTCCTCGCGGAACCGCTCGCGGAGCTGGAGATGGACTCCGCGGATCCAAGGGATCAAGACATCAGGGACCTCACCCTTGCTGCGCAAAGGGAAGACCGTGGTGTAACGCGTGTAGTCGTCAACAACCAACAGAAAGTAGCGCTCGCGGCCCTGTCCACTGACGCGGGCTGGGCCCCACACGTCCATGTGGAGAGTCTGCAGGGGAGCAGTCGTCGGGGGAAACGAGGAGGAGTGAGGAGCAGCGCGTTGCCGCCCCTCGACGCAAGGAAGGCAGGGCGGGGCAGGCGAGGGCGGGAGGGGAGGCAGAGACCTGGGAAGACCAGAAACAAGGAGGCGGGAGTGCATGCCACGAAGGCGTGGCAGGGAGGGGTGACAAAGTCGGTGGTGCCAAAGGAGAGTCTGGTGCGACAAGAGGCGACACGAACAGGGGGCGCCTACCTGACCTGATGCGGACACCTGACCAGAAGCAGCTACCTGAGGAGGCTCAGTAGTCAGTGTGTACAGACTCGACCCAGACCGACGGGTGAACGTGGCCAGGTGACGGCCCGTCCGTGTATACGTGCAGATCGTCACACGCTGACCCCCAGGAGTGGTGGTAGTGACCATCGCATCCTGGAGGGCAGCAGTACTCACCAAGTTTGTAGAGAACAAGGGGAGGTGAAGACCTGCAGTGTGAGCCGTACGAAACCGCCGGACACGGGAGAACAGTGGTGGAACGGGCAAGAACTGGGCCCCCTGAGGGGTCAGCCAGTCTGACTGGAACAAGTGCAGGGAGTGGAGGGAGTGTGGTACTGTCGCAAAAGAAACAGCGGGAAGCACCTGAGTCAAGCGTGAAGGTGTGCAAGGCCTCAGCAGGCGCAGTACCAGGGAGAGAAGACTCACTAGCTCCTAGAGCAGCAGCCTCTACACCTGGGTCAGGCAGCACACACAGGTAACAGTCACCCTCGGCACTAATAGTAAATGCATACATGGCAGCAAGGATAGCATCATAGTCAAGAGCAAAGATATCAACACCATACCTAAGCAGCTCTAGCCAGCGGGGGTGCTCAGCCTCGTCGCCAAACTCTGTGCGCCAAGCGTCGTCAAGGCGGGAGAAGCAGCGGTGCAGTGTGTGAAACCTCCCGTATGTCTGACCAGCGCGGTCACCTGTGCGAATGACATTCGGGCAGCGAACACTACCCCAAGACGCCCCACGCTGAGCAAACCACTCACGAAGCTGCTAGGGCGTAGGGGTCTTACTCGGACGCTGCTGCTGCTGCCTCTGGCCACCGCCAGAACCTCCCCTCTGAACAGCTCCACCCCGACCGCCACCACTGTCGCCGCCACCACTCCCACTGCCGCCACCACTGCCACCACCACTCCCACCGCTGCCACCACCGCCGCCACCAAAGCCCCCACTCCCGCGACCACTCCCATCGCCACCTCCGCCACCTCCACCGCCTCCACCACCACCACCCCCGCTGCCACCTCCACCACTCTTGCCTCCCTTGCCCTTGCCACTGCGGCGCTTCCCACTAGGAGCAGAAGCAGCCCCGACCTCCTCAGTTCCATGGATGTCAACAGCAGGAGCAGAAGCGTAGGAGGGGGCAAGGGGGGAGGGGGAACAACCCTCAAAGAAGGGTGTGAGAGGAGTGCCTCGAGCAGCACCTACAGCGACTATGCTAGTCTCAGCTGCAAGGAGGTACTTCTCGAGCAGGTCGACAGTGAGGTCTGTGGGTTCAAGTGCGAGAACGTGGTCCTTGATAGCGCGAAGAGAGTCAGAGAGGCGGGTGACTATGAAGTAGAGAGTGATGTACATCGGGGGCGGGTTCTTGTCTAGGAACTCGACTGTGAGGGCAGCGTGGTAGCGAGTGTCGCTTGTGCGAAGGTGGGTGATGAGGTCCTCGACTGTGGCAAAGGTTTACATGTCGGGAAAAACGTAGGGCAGTATAAGGCGGCCGAGAGCAGCAGTGGCAGGGGAAGAGTAACGAGCGACTACAGCGTCGTACAGGGCTTTAGCGGTCTTGTGCTGGCCAAAGTGAGTGTGTTCGGCTAACGGCAGGTGATTGCGAACAGCTAAGCAAGCAGCTGCGTCACGGGTAAGTCACTGTGAGCGAGTCGCACTGTCAGCTGTGTCGGGAGGGGCGAGAGAGGCTCCAGACGTGTGGTCAAACAACGAAACGCTGTCTCTAGAATCGCTCAGTAGGTACAGCTGTAAGTCATCGAGCCACGTATCAAACTGGATCGGACGGCCCTCATGATCGAATTTGAGAACGTTGAGAGTAGCCATAGCGGGCAGAGCAGGGTGGCGCGCGACGAGCAGGGCAGTACGCAGGCAAGGACGGTGCGACGAGCAGGGTGGCGCGCGAGCACTAGGGAAGCGCGCAGGGCAGGGCGGGGCGGCGCACGGCTAGGGAAGAGCGGCGCGCGGCCAGGGCAGGGCGGCGCAACTGGCAGGGCAGGGCGGCGGCCAGCAGGGCGGCGCGAGGGCAAGGCAGGGCGGTGTGGCGGCCAGCAGGGCGGCGCGCGGGCAGGGCAAGACGGCGCGGCGGCCAGCAGGGCGGCGCGTGGGCAGGGCAGGGCGGCGCGGCGGCCAGCAGGGCGGTGCGCGGGCAGGGCAGGGCGGCGCGGTGGCCAGCAGGGCGACGCGACGGGCAGGGGAGGGCGGCGCGCTACCAGCTAGGCGGCGCGACAGGCAGGGCAGGGCTGCGCGCGGCTGGCAGGGCGGCGCGACGGGCAGGGCAGGGCAGTGCGACTAGTGGGGCAGCGCCATGGGCAGGGAACTATGCGGTGGGCCCTGAAAAAACGGTCTTGGAACAGGACCTGCTCTGAAACCATGTCAAGAAAGTGAACGAGAATGAATGCATTGACAAGAAACAGAGTACAAGTACTAACCCTAATTGGGTTGTATCCCTTATGGGCTACCCCACTACAGCCTACACAGTATAAACATTATAACAGTTTGACACACGAAACCACTCTGAATTTTAGAGTCTCGTGAAAAACCACCCTGGAAACCAGTGTGCTAAAAAAAAAGAAAAAAAAAAAACCCTGGTCCGAGTGCTTGATAAAATGTCGAGTGACATGGCATGGCAACGTATTGTCTCAGTGATGGTAGTAAGGTGTGAAGGTCGTGAAGAAAAGGTAGTAGTTGAAGTACGATATTGTGGAAAACGAAACGGTTCATTCGTTTCGCCTCACGTCAGCTGTAGCAGTCCTAACCAATGAGCACGTTTTCAACCCGGAGAATGGCGTATTGTAAATATTGTAAATGGAAACTTTTCAATGCGAGAGGGGATGTTCCAAAGCTGCCAAAAGTTCACAATTTGCAATCATCATTGGGGCGCCACATCAGGAGGAATACCCACCGACAAAGCACATGAGACAACTAAGTGCATACGTAGTCTCTTGAGAATGTACACCACCTGAAGATATTCCCTGCTGTGGTTATTCCAACACCTGCCTTCAATCCTAGATCAAATCAATGGGGACAGCAACAACTCTCTAGTGCTAGTGGCCAAAGCACAGGAGACTGGGATGGGAAGAACCGCCAACAATCCAGTTGTTTTGAGACATCTCAAAACAACTCTGTTTACACAAGACTGGGAGAATCGCCAACAATCTGTTTTTGAGTCGACTCAAAAACAAGCACAGGAGACTGGGAAGAACCGCCAACAATCCAGAAACGGTGGACGGTTGGTAGGGTAGCGGCAACAGGCGCACATTATAGACAACGCTGTTCACTGAGAAACACCCAGGCTCTCTCGCACTTTCTGTTGTGGGTGTTGGGAGAAAGGAGCAACGGGGGTTGGAGGGACACACCTTGAGCAGAGAGAGAGGGGAGTTGGAAGAGGGTTGCTAAGGTGAGAGGAGAGTGGGAGCAGAGAGGCTAGAGTCGGAGATAAGGACATCGGGAGGACGATGTGCGTTGTGGTGGTGCCATGAGCTATGTATGGCTTACACATCTAAGTCATGTATGCATGTCTTGATGATATAGTTCAAGTCATGTATGCACATCTGGATGGCAGACTCATGTACTCAAGGTGCAGTGCGCTGCATATGATGTACTAACACATGATGCCATATGCACACACGTCATGCCCTGTAACGTGCAGTGTCATGTAAGGCTCAATCATGCACCATGTCCTACCATGCATCGCACACACCCCACCGTAAGCACATGTCCCCATAACACATGTGCATCAAGACAGCAGACACATGTGCCCAATATACCATGCATCAATATAAGCACATGTCCCCATGTGACCCATCTTGAGCAGAGCAATGTAGTAAAAGAACTCCATGTGCATCATGATGGCCGACCCATGTGATGTAAGTCATGCACCATGCATCACGCATCATGTACAAACACATGCCTTGAGCAGAGCAATGTAGTAAAAGAACTCCATGTGCATCATGATGGCAGACCCATCACTCAGCTCATTTCGAATCAGCTTGAGAAGTCACCACAGCCTCTTCCCATGCACTCACCATGCATAAAATACTCATCCCACATCCCACCTTGAGCAGCGCGATGTAATAAAAGTCCTCCATGCGCATCATGATGGCAGACCCATCCCGCAATGCAGACAGAATCGCCACCTCCGTCTGTAACAGCCGGTCGATCAGCCTCCGCTCGCCCTTCATCTGAGAGGGGCGAGGGTGAGGGGAGAGGGGACTTTTGAGTCAACTCAAAAGTAGAGGGTGAGGGGAGAGGGGACTTTTGAGTCGACTCAAAAGTAGAGGGTGAGGGGAGAGGGGACTTTTGAGTCGACTCAAAAGTAGAGGGTGAGGGGAGAAGGGACTTTTGAGTCGACTCAAAAGTAGAGGGTGAGGGGAGAGGGGACTTTTGAGTCAACTCAAAAGTAGAGGGTGAGGGGAGAGGGGACTTTTGAGTCAACTCAAAAGTAGAGGGTGAGGGGAGAGGGGACTTTTGAGTCGACTCAAAAGTAGAGGGTGAGGGGAGAGGGGACTTTTGAGTCGACTCAAAAGTAGAGGGTGAGGGGAGAGGGGACTTTTGAGTCGACTCAAAAGTAGAGGGTGAGGGGAGAGGGGACTTTTGAGTCGACTCAAAAGTAGAGGGTGAGGGGAGAGGGGACTTTTGAGTCGACTCAAAAGTAGAGGGTGAGGGGAGAGGGGACTTTTGAGTCGACTCAAAAGTAGAGGGTGAGGGGAGAGGGGACTTTTGAGTCGACTCAAAAGTAGAGGGTGAGGGGAGAGGGGACTTTTGAGTCGACTCAGAAGTAGAGGGTGAGGGGAGAGGGGACTTTTGAGTCGACTCAAAAGTAGAGGGTGAGGGGAGAGGGGACTTTTGAGTCGACTCAAAAGTAGAGGGTGAGGGGAGAGGGGACTTTTGAGTCGACTCAAAAGTAGAGGGTGAGGGGAGAGGGGACTTTCGAGTCGACTCAAAAGTAGAGGGTGAGGGGAGAGGGGACTTTCGAGTCGACTCAAAAGTAGAGGGTGAGGGGAGAGGGGACTTTCGAGTCGACTCAAAAGTAGAGGGTGAGGGGAGAGGGGACTTTTGAGTCGACTCAAAAGTAGAGGGTGAGGGGAGAGGGGACTTTTGAGTCGACTCAAAAGTAGAGGGTGAGGGGAGAGGGGACTTTTGAGTCGACTCAAAAGTAGAGGGTGAGGGGAGAGGGGACTTTTGAGTCGACTCAAAAGTAGAGGGTGAGGGGAGAGGGGACTTTTGAGTCGACTCAAAAGTAGAGGGTGAGGGGAGAGGGGACTTTTGAGTCGACTCAAAAGTAGAGGGTGAGGGGAGAGGGGACTTTTGAGTCGACTCAAAAGTAGAGGGTGAGGGGAGAGGGGACTTTTGAGTCGACTCAAAAGTAGAGGGTGAGGGGAGAGGGGACTTTTGAGTCGACTCAAAAGGAGAGGGAGAGGGGAGATTCACCGTTTTCCATCGCAAGTCAGACACAGCCTATGGTTCTGGTCAATCCACATCCTCTTTTCGGGTCGACTAAAATTCCGTGTGTGACGAATCTGTTTTTGAGTCGACTCAAATACTGCGTCGACTCAAAAACAGTTCGCCATCGCAAGTCAGACACAGCCTATGGTTGTACTAGTAAATCCACATCCTCTTCGTGTCCAGCCTCTTGAACGTGCCTGTTACGTGTTCTTCTAACATCCTATACTTGAGGTGCGCAAAAAAAAAAAAGCACATCGCACACATGGTGAAATGCAAAAAAGAATTTCTAAAAAATAACATCATCCAAGAAATGCACATCCCAGACATGCTGCAAACAACCCCCTAACAGACTCTCTAGCTGCCTGTCTAACATGGAGTGTCTTGTGTAGGTGCATGTATGCATGAGTGCATGTCTCACATAATCCTCTAAAATGTCGTTGGCGTTCGCCTTCCCCACCACCTCGGCCGCATATCCATCATCCACTCCTCATGCACATGCACATGCACGTGTACGTTCACACATACAATGGAGACATCTAATCGTATAGCTGCATGTCTCACATAGTCTTCTAGAATGTCGTTGGCATTGGCCTCCCCCACCACCTCGGCTGCATACCCATCATCCACTCCTAGCTGCTCCTGTGATGCATCCGACTGCCATGTGGACATGCACACATACACACATGCGCTCATACATGAACGCACGCATGGACACATGCGCAGATGGGCATGACGGAGACACATGCATGATGGAGACACATGCATGGTGGAGACACATGCATGGTGGAGACACATGCATGATAGGACATAATCATGTCAGAAACACCTGAAGTCATGATCATCTGAGAAGCACCTGAATGTCGCGTCCACCTGAAGGTCACACTTACCTGAAGATCATAACCCACCTGAAGATCATAACCCACCTGAAAATCATAACCCACCTGAAGATCATAACCCACCTGAAGATCATAACCCACCTGAAAATCATAACCCACCTGACGATCATAACCCACCTGAAGATCATAACCCACCTGAAGATCATAACCCACCTGAAGATCATAACCCACCTGAAGATCATAACCCACCTGAAGGTCACCTGAGGGCCCTCCTGGGCTGAGGTAGACAGGGCAGCACACGTGGCGGTACCCCATTAGCTTGGGCACTGTGGGAACAATGTCAGCACGATTCACAATGCGCCAGCTGTCTCTCATGTACTGGAGGGAACGAGCAGGGGTGCATGGGGTGGGTGGGGGGAAAAGGAGGTGATGTGGAGAGAAGGAGAAAAGTGAAGGAGGGGGGACGTGGGAGTAGTAAGAGCTTCAGCATTTCAAGTTTGACGCAGCAGAAAAAAACAGAAGAGCAAAGCCAAGGCTGCGCTGCCCATGAGTTTCAAACACAATGTTTACAGTTTTCCGAGCAAGGCGCCGCAAACATCATGCCACAACAAGGGCTGGAGATGCTTAAGCTCGTGAGCGGCCCACGAGGGACACGACATGGCTAGGCATGTTTTTTAGTCGACTATAAAACGTGCTAGGCATGTTGTCGAGTCGAATAAAAAACGGATGCTTAAGCTCGTGTGTGGCCCACCCATGACAGCCACGACAAGGGGTAGGTGGTTGGGTGACTAACCACGTTGAATCTGGCAACGAAGGCCGCATTGCCCACGCGAGGGGAGCCATAGTTGTACATGGTGAGATGGATGTTTCGCTCCCTGAGGGATGGAGGGAGGCGAGCAAAGAGAGGGAGAGGGAAGGCAGAATGGGAGGAGGCGACAATAGTTGTACATGGTGAGATGGATGTTGCGATCCCTGAGGGGTGGAGGGAGAAGAGGGAAGGAAAACAGAGGGCGGGAGGGTAGAGGAGGGAGGGTAGAGAGGGAGAAAAGCGACAATAGTCGTACATGGTGAGATAGAGAACTTTTGAGACGTCTCAAAAGGTAGAGAGGGAGAAAAGCGACAATAGTCGTACATGGTGAGATAGAGAACTTTTGAGACGTCTCAAAAGGTAGAGAGGGAGAAAAGCGACAATAGTCGTACATGGTGAGATAGAGAACTTTTGAGACGTCTCAAAAGGTAGAGAGGGAGAAAAGCGACAATAGTCGTACATGGTGAGATAGAGAACTTTTGAGACGTCTCAAAAGGTAGAGAGGGAGAAAAGCGACAATAGTCGTACATGGTGAGATAGAGAACTTTTGAGACGTCTCAAAAGGTAGAGAGGGAGAAAAGCGACAATAGTCGTACATGGTGAGATAGAGAACTTTTGAGACGTCTCAAAAGGTAGAGAGGGAGAAAAGCGACAATAGTCGTACATGGTGAGATAGAGAACTTTTGAGACGTCTCAAAAGGTAGAGAGGGAGAAAAGCGACAATAGTCGTACATGGTGAGATAGAGAAATTTTGAGACGTCTCAAAAGGTAGAGAGGGAGAAAAGCGACAATAGTCGTACATGGTGAGATAGAGAACTTTTGAGACGTCTCAAAAGGCAGAGAGGGAGAAAAGCGACAATAGTCGTACATGGTGAGATAGAGAACTTTTGAGACGTCTCAAAAGGTAGAGAGGGAGAAAAGCGACAATAGTCGTACATGGTGAGATAGAGAACTTTTGAGACGTCTCAAAAGGTAGAGAGGGAGAAAAGCGACAATAGTCGTACATGGTGAGATAGAGAACTTTTGAGACGTCTCAAAAGGTAGAGAGGGAGAAAAGCGACAATAGTCGTACATGGTGAGATAGAGAACTTTTGAGACGTCTCAAAAGGTAGAGAGGGAGAAAAGCGACAATAGTCGTACATGGTGAGATAGAGAACTTTTGAGACGTCTCAAAAGGTAGAGAGGGAGAAAAGCGACAATAGTCGTACATGGTGAGATAGAGAACTTTTGAGACGTCTCAAAAGGTAGAGAGGGAGAAAAGCGACAATAGTCGTACATGGTGAGATAGAGAACTTTTGAGACGTCTCAAAAGGTAGAGAGGGAGAAAAGCGACAATAGTCGTACATGGTGAGATAGAGAACTTTTGAGAGGTCTCAAAAGGTAGAGAGGGAGAAAAGCGACAATAGTCGTACATGGTGAGATAGAGAACTTTTGAGACGTCTCAAAAGGTAGAGAGGGAGAAAAGCGACAATAGTCGTACATGGTGAGATAGAGACTGTGTTTGGGAAGCTGGTCAGGGTGGGCTGAGAGAAAGGCTAGGTGGAAGGGGAGGGCGGACAGGGAAAGTATTAGGAGAGGGAATGGCCATAGCGGTACATGGTGAGATGGATGCATGGTGTAGTCCCTGAGGCATAAGGCATGTCTGGGATGAGAAGAGGGACGTTGGGTAGCGAGGGAGGGAAGGGCGGGGGGAAGGGTAGGGGGTTGGCGAGATCAACATGGCAGGGCGTAAAAAAAAAAAAAACACACAAACAAACAAAGAAAATCCGTTGTGAGCTAACACACACGAAGGAAACGACACAGGCAAGCTCGAGGCGAGTGATAAACCTTTGCCCCAGCCCAGTCGAATGTGACCGGGTGAAACATACGAATCCACCTGACCATATTCAACAGCGCAGCCCACCTGACCAGGCGAAAACAGCAGAGGAACTCACCTGACCAGGTTGGACTGGGAGAGCTCGTAGGCAAAGAGGGTCGACAGGGCTCCTCCCAGGCTGTGACCTGTCAGGTACACCCGCCACGTGTCACCCTCTGATAGGCTGTCAGCTGCATGGATTGAGGAGTCCCCATCAGCACCAGCATCAGCATCAGCAGAACGAGCAGTGAGTGGTGCAGGGCGGTTGGGGTCGGTGATGATGGCAATGAGGGAGCGCAGGCGAGCGCGAACAGAGTCGTATGCAGCAAGGAAACCACCGTGCACCTGACGTAGGGGGTGGGGGGTGGGGATGGGAGGTTGGGGTGGGGGTGGGGGTGGGGGTGGGGGTGGGGGTGGGAGTGGGAGTGGGAAGTGGGGGATGAGGTTGGGATTTGGGGCTTGGGGGACTGTTTTTGGGGTACCCAAGGAATAGACGCGAACAGAGTCATATGCAGCAAGGAAACCACCGTGCACCTGCAGTGGGGGAATGGGCGGTTGGGGGAGAGGAGATGTTTTGGGGGACGAGGGGAGCACACATTGTTAATGTTAGCCCTCAATCTCACCTTTTGTGCTTGTACTTCTTATATCCTAGTTTAGTGTAGTTTGCAATTTGTTTTTTGGTTGGGGGTACACCCACATCCCAACCAAACCCAAATGTGATCTCCAAGCAATCTCCAATCCACCAATTGGAGATTGCCTTGGGATTACCCCCAATCCCTAGGGATTGACCCCGATTCCCTCCCCATCCATACCTAGCTCATTCTTGATGTACTTAAGGAGCTTCAAGCTCATTACTAATGTATCGATTCTAAGCTCCAATTACGACACACATGTGCTGCTGCATCAAGTCAACATAGACTGTTGCACCTCAGGGTAAAGCAGGAGTCACTTTTGAGAATCCTCGAAAATCACCTCGGGGTGAAGGAGGAAGGGAGACCTTCCACAGAGACGGAGGGCCATGCCGGAGACATGAGACATAGATGTATGTACCTACGCTACGATGTGAGCGAATTTCCCGGAGACACCGGAGACAATCGGAGACAATCGGAGACAATCGGAGACATCGGAGACATTGGATCGGAGTAGTAGGGGCTGGCATTGGCAATTTGACATAGTAGAGGGACAGCCACGTCGACTTGATATACACACGCTGCCTGAGCTCTTCACCATGACGTTATCAGCCTCATAGCATGACGTCACACCCTCTCAACATGACGTCACACCCCTCTCAACATGACGTCACATCCCTCTCACCATGACGTGACACCCTTCTCACTAGACATGAGCACAAGGGCGAACACCTGTTTGGTTCGCCTCGAACAGGTTTGTTTTTTTTGCTTAAAGTGTTCGCCAAACAGTGTTCGGGCCGCTGCTGCAATTTGCCCCGCGACGAACACGAACGTGTTCGAGGTTCGCCCGAACACGCCTTCACAGGCGAACGGCGAACACGTGTTTTTGCTTAAAGTGTTTGCCGAACCGAACAGTGTTCGGTTCAGCAAACGGATGTGTTCGTGTAGGGGCGAACACGAACATGTTCGTGTTCGCCCCTTGCTCATCCCTACTTCTCACCATGACGTCACACCCTTCTCACCATGACGTCACACCCTTCTCACCATGACGTGACACCCTTCTCACCATGACGTGACACCCTTCTCACCATGACGTCACACCCTTCTCACCATGACGTCACACCCTTCTCACCATGACGTCACACCCTTCTCACCATGATGTCACAATCCTCTCACCATGACGTCACACCCCTCTCACCATGACGCCACACCCCTCTCACCATGACGTCACACCCCTCTCACCATGACATCTTGGTCGAAATCGCCCGATGAGGTTCGTTCGAAGTCCAGGCTGAAAAGGGGGGCGGGGGAAAGCAAGGAAGGAGGAAGAGAACGGAGAAAGGGAAAAGCAGAAAGCAAGGAGAAGGGAGGAAAAAGGAAATGAGATTGTTGGGTCAATGAAAAAAAAAAAAAAAAAAAAACTCTTAAAGTTGAGGTTGAGGTTTAAAGTTGATGGGTAAGGGAGGAAGGGAGGAGTAAAGGATCAGGGAGGTTCATTCAGGGAGGAAGGAAGAAAGTAAGAAACAGCCTCGCTCAAGTCCAGGCTGCAAGTGGAAGAAGAGGAGGCGAGGAGGAAAGGGGAAGAGAAGTGTCAGGGAGGAGGTAAGAAGAAACTACAGTTGATAAAACGACTCAAGAATAGGTTTCCTCACCCCAGCCTCACACCACCCGCTCTCCAACTTCACCCCAGCCCTACCTGCAGCGCACCTCAGGGGTACCGCAGCCAATCTCACTCCACCGCTGCTCACCTGGACGGAGAGAGCGAGATGTCTGTGAGTAAGTCCTTGGCCTTCGTCTGCCAGTAAGTGAGCAGAAGGAGAAGAGGGGAGGGCGGGGCGGGGAAGAAGAGGAGAGAGTGCAAGAAACATCAGAAAGTTCCTAGAGAGATGTCTGTGGGTACGTCCCTGTTACTATCGAACAGGTGGGCTGCGGAGGTCTAATGCCCATCAACTTAGATGTTATTAAGACGGCGAGACAAACTCCATGAGAATGAAAAAATGGAAGCCTGGTTAAACTTGTGTGCTAGAACGTGTTTAGAGAGCCAGTTTGATCAGAGAGATGTCTGTGGGTATGTCCCTAGAGAGATGTCTGTGGGTATGTCCCTAGAGAGATGTCTGAGGGTATGTCCCTAGAGAGATGTCTGTGGGTATGTCCCTAGAGAGATGTCTGAGGGTATGTCCCTAGAGAGATGTCTGTGGGTATGTCCCTAGAGAGATGTCTGTGGGTATGTCCCTAGAGAGATGTCTGTGGGTATGTCCCTAGAGAGATGTCTGTGGGTATGTCCCTAGAGAGATGTCTGTGGGTATGTCCCTAGAGAGATGTCTGAGGGTATGTCCCTAGAGAGATGTCTGTGGGTATGTCCCTAGAGAGATGTCTGTGGGTATGTCCCTAAAGAGATGTCTGTGGGTATGTCCCTAGAGAGATGTCTGTGGGTATGTCCCTAGAGAGATGTCTGTGGGTATGTCCCTAGAGAGATGTCTGTGGGTATGTCCCTAGAGAGATGTCTGTGGGTATGTCCCTAGAGAGATGTCTGAGGGTATGTCCCTAGAGAGATGTCTGAGGGTATGTCCCTAGAGAGATGTCTGTGGGTATGTCCCTAGAGAGATGTCTGTGGGTATGTCCCTAGAGAGATGTCTGTGGGTATGTCCCTAGAGAGATGTCTGTGGGTATGTCCCTAGAGAGATGTCTGTGGGTATGTCCCTAGAGAGATGTCTGTGGGTATGTCCCTAGAGAGATGTCTGTGGGTATGTCCCTAGAGAGATGTCTGTGGGTATGTCCCTAGAGAGATGTCTGAGGGTATGTCCCTAGAGAGATGTCTGAGGGTATGTCCCTAGAGAGATGTCTGTGGGTATGTCCCTAGAGAGATGTCTGTGGGTATGTCCCTAGAGAGATGTCTGAGGGTATGTCCCTAGAGAGATGTCTGTGGGTATGTCCTTGAGCTTCGTCTGCCAGTAAGTGAGCACGACGGAGAAAGGGGAAGGGAGGGTGGGGAAGAGGGGGGGGAGGAATTTCAAGAAATCTCATGAAGTACTTTAGGAGATGTCCAGGAGTAGAACCTTCAGCTTCGTCTCTGCTCTTTATGCTGTCCCCCGCCCCCTGCCCACGACACCCCCACTCACTCACTCCCAATCATGCGCCGTACCTCTCACCCACCAGCCCAGCGCCGTAGCATTTCTCTCACCTGTTCAGTTCCTCGGAATGCCACCACAATTCTCTTCCTCCGCACGTCCCTCCAAACCGCCACTTGAGTGTCGGACTGTGGGTGGTCCACGAAGCAGACCTTGTCAAACTCCGACTTGACAAACGTCTGCTGCCCGAGTGAGCTCGCCAGCATGGTCCATGCCTCCACCGCCGTCTCTGCACTCCCAAACATGCGCAGCGCCTCTTCTGTCTCCTCCTCACTCACTACCTCACTTGCTCCTTCACTCACTCCCTCACTCGCTCCTTCTCTCGCTCCCTCACTCTCCTCCCCACCAGTTTCCCCTTCGGACTTAGCTGCTCCTACACTCTTCTTCTCCCCCTCGACCAATGGTAGGCTGCCAGCTGTGCTGCCAAGCAGGGCGAGCGACCCCAGCACCCCCTCAGTCTGCCGGAAAGCAGCCTTGCGAAGATCATCCAGGGAGGAGGAGAAAGAGGACGGCTCTTGGGAAGCAGTGACATCTGTAGTGGGGCTTGCCTGCCTGTCTGTCCCTTGCCCATCTGCCCCTTGCCCGCTGCTCTGGTCGTACCAGGGCAGGTTAATCCCAAGGTCCACAAGGCTTTTCCTCAGCTCTGCTCGCCGCTGCTCTATCCGCCCCACCAACGCACTCGTAGCCCCCTCCAGAAAATCGCCTGCTGCTGCCGCTGCATCAGAAATGCTGCTCTGTCCGTCTGCCCCTTGCCCGTTCTTCTGGTCGTACCAGGGCAGGGTGATGCCCATGTCTGTGAGGCTTCTCCTCAGCTCCGCTCGCCGCTGCTCTATCCTCCCTGCCACTACGCCTGCTGCCCCCTCCAGCAACCCTCCTGCTGCAGCTGATGCAGCAGAGCCCAGATCAAACTCACCAGAAGCAGCAGCAGGGGCGGATTCACTGTTGCTGCTGCTTGAACTGCTGCCAGAGGCACCAGTGCCACTGTCAGTACCACTCATTACCGCCTGACTGAGCTGGTCCAGGGTGCCACCTGGCGGGATCCAGCCTGCCCTGAGTAGCACCTCCCTCGCCAACCCCACTGCCTGCCTCACCTGCTCCTCCCTGCCACTGCTACCAGTGTCAGCATTTTCTGCACTGATTTCAGCAGACCCTGTTGCTTCTGCTGCTGCTGCTGCTTGTGGTGAGGATTGGGGTGGGACGACCGAGTCTCGGATCTAATCCAGACTCATTGGGAAGGCGGATGGGGCTCCGAACTGCTGGATGGCAGACCGGACAAACTCGTACGTGGAAATGGCCGGCGACGGTTGGCTGGTAGCGGGAGCCGAGCCGTCGGTGGGAGCAGGGGTGGAATTGGCAGCAGGTGTGGTGGAGGGTGGTTGCAAGGCTGAAGTGATGACGTCTTGAAAGCCGGAGACCAGAGGGAGCTGGCCTGAGAAGATGTCTTCCAGAGAGGGCAGGCGCCACCTGGGAGGGAGGGAGGGGGGACGGAGGGGGGAGGGAGAGGGGTGTGGTGCAACGTGGAAATCCGAGTTAGCACTGCATTAGGGTAACACTGCCTGCTTGCAAGGCTGAAGTGATGACGTGTTGAAAGCCGGAGACGAGAGGGAGCTGGGCTGAGAAGATGTCGTCCAGAGAGGGCAGGCGCCACCTGGGAGGGAAAAGAGAGCATGGAAGTCTGAATTAGCACTAGATTACTGCGTGGTTGCCAGGCAGCAGTGATGGTGTCTTGGAAGCCCGGAGACGAGAGGGAGCTGGGCTGAGAAGATGTCGTCCAGAGAGGGCAGGGGCCACGTGGGAGAGAGGGAGGGAGAGAGGGAGAGGGGTGATGAAAAACGGGGTAGGAAAATCGGCAGTAGTGATGGTGTCTTGGAAGCCCGGAGACGAGAGGGAGCTGTCCTGAGAAGATGTCGTCTAGAGAGGGCAGGCGCCACGTGGGAGAGAGGGAGGGAGAGAGGGAGAGGGGTGATGTAAAACGGGGTAGGAAAATAAGGCAGCAGTGATGGTGTCTTGGAAGCCCGGAGACGAGAGGGAGCTGCCCTGAGAAGATGTCGTCTAGAGAGGGCAGGCGCCACGTGGGAGAGAGGGAAAGAGGGGTGATGTGAATCAGGGTTAGGAACTGGCAAAGGCGTATTGCTTGTTGAGAAGGCTGCAGTGATGACGTCTTGTATGTATGGTAGAGCTGGCCTGAGAAGGTGCCAAACCGAGAGGGCAGGCGCCGTCTGTCACGGAGGGAGAGAGGGAGGAGGTAAGAAATAGGGTCCGAACTAGCATTAGGATATTACTGGAGAAAGACGAAGACGAAGAGGGGTGATCCTTCCCCGATGCCTGGTTGGAAGGCAGCAGTCTGACGTCTCGGAACTACTCACTTCCTCTGCTCCTCCTCCGTCCTAGCCCCTCTCCTCTTCCTCTCCTCCTCTGCCACCTCTTCCACCTCCTCACCGCTGCGGCAGCAGACTGCTAGCCATGATCGCCTCTTGCTTGCACCTGACTTCAAACAGCTTTAAGACCTCAAACGCTCACCTCCTACGCTCCTCCTTTCTCCCTGCCACTCACCTCCGCCTCTCCTCCTCTGCTAGCTCTGCAAAGCTGCGGTAGCGGACTGCTAGCTTCAGTGTGGCTCCTCCTCCCGGCCCCTCTAGCGCAACTTCCTGCTCATGAGTCTCGCCTGTGCGTGCATGCACACACACATACGCAGCATGTGGTACAAACAGCTTATGAGACGCCTATATATTTTGAAAGGCCCTTGAGTTTTGAGACGTCTCAAAAGTCGTCTTCCAGCATGCACCCACTTGAGCAACCCACATAATGCATAGACTAGTTATGAGGCGTGTATAGATTGCGATTCGACTGAACAGAACGCATTCCGGACATGCGCGTCGAAGGAAACTTGGAAACTCAATGCATATGTTCGGTCAGATAGTGGGATTGCTAGATTCCCAAGGCGGTAAGGTAGGTAGATTCTGATGCAATGAGAAAGGACAACAAGAACAATGGCAGTGACAAGGAGGTTACCATCCAGAAGATCGTCCAATCGGATGGAAGCGTTTCCGAGTCGACGGGGCGCGATGACGATTCCATCGTCCCACATGGACAGCTGTGAGAGAGTGGGGTGGGGTTGTGAGAACAGAGGTGGAACCATATGGAGAGGTGGAAAAGAGAGGGTTTGGGAGAATAGTGGGGGCATTATATAAGACAGTTGTGATTGGTGAACAGAGGGAGAGCAAACGATTGGAGGAAGCAACCATGGATAAACACGTGGCATGGCAGACGAAGGAGATGTTGGAAGAGGAGAGGAGAGCAAAGAGAAGAGGGCCAGGAGATGAATCCAGATGAAAGAGGGAATTTAGGGCAATGGGAAAGGGAAAGGGAAAAGAGATACAGACCAGGAAAATGGAGGTGAGAGGGGATGACAGGAGCGAGAAGAGGAAGGGTAAGAGGATGGCAAAGAGGAAAACGAATGCGAAGGTAATTCAAGCAAGAGACCAACTTTAAAAAGGAGGTGTTATCTGCACCTTGAGGTACTGGGGGGAGGTGTCATCTGCTTTCACCAGCAGGCGAATCTCCTCATTCCACTCGGGAGCTGTGCTCCTGGGGGTATGTGTGTGTGTGCATGTGTGTTGTGTGTGTGTGTGCATTTGTGATGGTGGATGCACCATGCAAGGGCCGTCGGGAAGAGAGGAGTGGGAGGGGTGAGAACCACACAACGTGACAGTTGAGCTTGGGCGTCGATTTGAGATGCACCAGCTTGACGGGTACCAACCAACCAACTAAGAGAGTCTAGGGTTCAAGCGTGGGTCTCTAGAGTCCCTTCAACCAGACTGTTTTTGAGGCACTTGAAACAGCTGATTCCAGATGCACCAGCTTGATGGGTACCAATCAGCTGAGACTAGGGTTGATGCGCGGGTCTCTAGAGTCCCTTCAACCACACTCACACCTAGCAGACCCTGGATGGAGCAGAAGAGAAGCCTAATAGCTTTGAGGCGACATGCGGGTGGACTGCTGCTGCGGTATAATGTCCATCCGAGTCCATCACAAGCGCGAAGCGGTTTTAGATAAGTAAAAAAGGTGGCCAGTGAAAGCGGCTTCGAAGCAGTTTTGAGTGAACACTCCTGTTCAGAACATGAACTAAGGTCTCCCTTTGAGTGAACAAGAACATAGGGGAGAACATGCACTAGAGGAGCCCTCCCTTGCACGCCGCGAGCGAGCCAAGAGACGGCTTTTATGGTGCGTGAAAAGCGCATGCTCATGCAGACTAAAGAGCGGTCTAAACAGCGAGGCAGTCTAAAGAGCGGTCTAAACAGCGAGGCAGTCTAAAGAGCGGTCTAAACAGCGAGGCAGTCTAAAGAGCGGTCTAAACAGCGAGGCAGTCTAAAGAGCGGTCTAAACAGCGAGGCAGTCTAAAGAGCGGACTGAACAGCGAGGCAGTCTAAAGAGCGGTCTAAACAGCGAGGCAGTCTAAAGAGCGGTCTAAACAGCGAGGCAGTCTAAAGAGCGGTCTAAACAGCGAGGCAGTCTAAAGAGCGGACTAAACAGCGAGGCAGTCTAAAGAGCGGTCTAAACAGCGAGGCAGTCTAAAGAGCGGTCTAAACAGCGAGGCAGTCTAAAGAGCGGTCTAAACAGCGAGGCAGTCTAAAGAGCGGTCTAAACAGCGAGGCAGTCTAAAGAGCGGTCTAAACAGCGAGGCAGTCTAAAGAGCGGACTAAACAGCGAGGCAGTCTAAAGAGCGGTCTAAACAGCGAGGCAGTCTAAAGAGCGGTCTAAACAGCGAGGCAGTCTAAAGAGCGGTCTAAACAGCGAGGCAGTCTAAAGAGCGGACTAAACAGCGAGGCAGTCTAAAGAGCGGTCTAAACAGCGAGGCAGTCTAAAGAGCGGACTAAACAGCGAGGCAGTCTAAAGAGCGGTCTAAACAGCGAGGCAGTCTAAAGAGCGGTCTAAACAGCGAGGCAGTCTAAAGAGCGGTCTAAACAGCGAGGCAGTCTAAAGAGCGGTCTAAACAGCGAGGCAGTCTAAAGAGCGGTCTAAACAGCGAGGCAGTCTAAAGAGCGGACTAAACAGCGAGGCAGTCTAAAGAGCGGTCTAAACAGCGAGGCAGTCTAAAGAGCGGTCTAAACAGCGAGGCAGTCTAAAGAGCGGTCTAAACAGCGAGGCAGTCTAAAGAGCGGACTAAACAGCGAGGCAGTCTAAAGAGCGGTCTAAACAGCGAGGCAGTCTAAAGAGCGGACTAAACAGCGAGGCAGTCTAAAGAGCGGTCTAAACAGCGAGGCAGTCTAAAGAGCGGACTAAACAGCGAGGCAGTCTAAAGAGCGGTCTAAACAGCGAGGCAGTCTAAAGAGCGGACTAAACAGCGAGGCAGTCTAAAGAGCGGTCTAAACAGCGAGGCAGTCTAAAGAGCGGTCTAAACAGCGAGGCAGTCTAAAGAGCGGTCTAAACAGCGAGGCAGTCTAAAGAGCGGTCTAAACAGCGAGGCAGTCTAAAGAGCGGTCTAAACAGCGAGGCAGTCTAAAGAGCGGACTAAACAGCGAGGCAGTCTAAAGAGCGGTCTAAACAGCGAGGCAGTCTAAAGAGCGGACTAAACAGCGAGGCAGTCTAAAGAGCGGTCTAAACAGCGAGGCAGTCTAAAGAGCGGACTAAACAGCGAGGCAGTCTAAAGAGCGGTCTAAACAGCGAGGCAGTCTAAAGAGCGGACTAAACAGCGAGGCAGTCTAAAGAGCGGTCTAAACAGCGAGGCAGTCTAAAGAGCGGACTAAACAGCGAGGCAGTCTAAAGAGCGGTCTAAACAGCAAGGCAGTCTAAAGAGCGGACTAAACAGCGAGGCAGTCTAAAGAGCGGTCTAAACAGCGAGGCAGTCTAAAGAGCGGACTAAACAGCGTGGCAGTCTAAAGAGCGGTCTAAACAGCGAGGCAGTCTAAAGAGCGGACTAAACAGCGAGGCAGTCTAAAGAGCGGACTAAACAGCGAGGCAGTCTAAAGAGCGGTCTAAACAGCGAGGCAGTCTAAAGAGCGGTCTAAACAGCGAGGCAGTCTAAAGAGCGGTCTAAACAGCGAGGCAGTCTAAAGAGCGGACTAAACAGCGAGGCAGTCTAAAGAGCGGTCTAAACAGCGAGGCAGTCTGAAGAGCGGACTAAACAGCGAGGCAGTCTAAAGAGCGGTCTAAACAGCGAGGCAGTCTAAAGAGCGGTCTAAACAGCGAGGCAGTCTAAAGAGCGGACTAAACAGCGAGGCAGTCTAAAGAGCGGTCTAAACAGCGAGGCAGTCTAAAGAGCGGTCTAAACAGCGAGGCAGTCTAAAGAGCGGTCTAAACAGCGAGGCAGTCTAAAGAGCGGACTAAACAGCGAGGCAGTCTAAAGAGCGGTCTAAACAGCGAGGCAGTCTAAAGAGCGGACTAAACAGCGAGGCAGTCTAAAGAGCGGTCTAAACAGCGAGGCAGTCTAAAGAGCGGACTAAACAGCGAGGCAGTCTAAAGAGCGGTCTAAACAGCGAGGCAGTCTAAAGAGCGGACTAAACAGCGAGGCAGTCTAAAGAGCGGTCTAAACAGCGAGGCAGTCTAAAGAGCGGACTAAACAGCGAGGCAGTCTAAAGAGCGGTCTAAACAGCGAGGCAGTCTAAAGAGCGGTCTAAACAGCGAGGCAGTCTAAAGAGCGGTCTAAACAGCGAGGCAGTCTAAAGAGCGGACTAAACAGCGAGGCAGTCTAAAGAGCGGTCTAAACAGCGAGGCAGTCTAAAGAGCGGACTAAACAGCGAGGCAGTCTAAAGAGCGGTCTAAACAGCGAGGCAGTCTAAAGAGCGGACTAAACAGCGAGGCAGTCTAAAGAGCGGTCTAAACAGCGAGGCAGTCTAAAGAGCGGACTAAACAGCGAGGCAGTCTAAAGAGCGGTCTAAACAGCGAGGCAGTCTAAAGAGCGGACTAAACAGCGAGGCAGTCTAAAGAGCGGTCTAAACAGCAAGGCAGTCTAAAGAGCGGACTAAACAGCGAGGCAGTCTAAAGAGCGGTCTAAACAGCGAGGCAGTCTAAAGAGCGGACTAAACAGCGAGGCAGTCTAAAGAGCGGTCTAAACAGCGAGGCAGTCTAAAGAGCGGACTAAACAGCGTGGCAGTCTAAAGAGCGTCTAAACAGCGAGGCAGTCTAAAGAGCGGACTAAACAGCGAGGCAGTCTAAAGAGCGGACTAAACAGCGAGGCAGTCTAAAGAGCGGTCTAAACAGCGAGGCAGTCTAAAGAGCGGACTAAACAGCGAGGCAGTCTAAAGAGCGGTCTAAACAGCGAGGCAGTCTAAAGAGCGGACTAAACAGCGAGGCAGTCTAAAGAGCGGTCTAAACAGCGAGGCAGTCTAAAGAGCGGACTAAACAGCGAGGCAGTCTAAAGAGCGGTCTAAACAGCGAGGCAGTCTAAAGAGCGGACTAAACAGCGAGGCAGTCTAAAGAGCGGACTAAACAGCGAGGCAGTCTAAAGAGCGGACTAAACAGCGAGGCAGTCTAAAGAGCGGACTAAACAGCGAGGCAGTCTAAAGAGCGGTCTAAACAGCGAGGCAGTCTAAAGTGCGGTCTAAACAGCGAGGCAGTCTAAAGAGCGGTCTAAACAGCGAGGCAGTCTAAAGAGCGGACTAAACAGCGAGGCAGTCTAAAGAGCGGTCTAAACAGCGAGGCAGTCTAAAGAGCGGACTAAACAGCGAGGCAGTCTAAAGAGCGGTCTAAACAGCGAGGCAGTCTAAAGAGCGGACTAAACAGCGAGGCAGTCTAAAGAGCGGTCTAAACAGCGAGGCAGTCTAAAGAGCGGACTAAACAGCGAGGCAGTCTAAAGAGCGGTCTAAACAGCGAGGCAGTCTAAAGAGCGGACTAAACAGCGAGGCAGTCTAAAGAGCGGTCTAAACAGCGAGGCAGTCTAAAGAGCGGACTAAACAGCGAGGCAGTCTAAAGAGCGGTCTAAACAGCGAGGCAGTCTAAAGAGCGGACTAAACAGCGAGGCAGTCTAAAGAGCGGTCTAAACAGCGAGGCAGTCTAAAGAGCGGACTAAACAGCGAGGCAGTCTAAAGAGCGGTCTAAACAGCGAGGCAGTCTAAAGAGCGGACTAAACAGCGAGGCAGTCTAAAGAGCGGACTAAACAGCGAGGCAGTCTAAAGAGCGGACTAAACAGCGAGGCAGTCT